TTTATTCTATGTCATTGCAGATTTTTTTTAGAAAGCTGGTTGCGCATGACCCACAGTAGGCAGATCACTTGGTCTGGTCGCCGGGCTGTGTTTGGGGCATTGGACACTGCCCCTCCCTCGCGAGGCCCAGGGTAGCCGGCCTGCACCCTCTGGGGATCTGCTCAACTGCCGGCCCTTCTGCTAGGCTCCTGCACTCTCCCGCCTCCCGTGGCTCCGGGGGCGCCGCCAGCGGCTGCCCGGCTCATTCCCAGCTCAGCCTCTAGTGCCTGGCACACAACAGGGCCCCATAGATGTCAGGTAAATGAATGAAGGTGTCCACCCAGGAAAGTACAGGGTCACCCCAGCCTGGGCGTATGGCACTTCAGTGGAGATAAGGGTGACGTTAGGGTGACAGAGCCACAGGAAGACCCTAACGGCAGACAGGAAGAGATGACATCTGAGGGGGGAGGCAGACATCCAGGTGAACTTTCCTTCAGATGCCACCTCCTCCAGGAAGCCTTCCCCGACTCTCATAGCCCCAGAGTCCCCTCCTTTCTGGCCAGGAGAGAGAGAGTGGAGGGAGCAGAGGCGGGAGCAGGAACAGGGTCAAAAGGGAGGATGGCCTAGTCCCTGCGGGTGCCAGATTCTCCACGGCACCTTCTCCGCTTGTCCTGTGCACTGACAGACCCATCCCCTGTCTCACTTCCACTGATGGATAAGGCCACGTCCCCTTCCAGCCCCACCCAGGCCCAGCATCCTCATGGGCCATCACCAAGGGGCCTTGGCTCCTCAGGCCCCTGACCACGTGTTGACAGCCTGTGGGTTCCAGCGCTGCTGGAGGAACCACAATCACTTTGAGAGGCTCAGTGCAGGCCTCTTGCTCCGCTGGGGGCGGGGGGGGGGGGGGGGCTGGGGCGGGAGAAGGCCAGCAAGCCTAGCCGAGCTTTATCCCATGACAGGGTAGAGGAGGAGAAGGGGTGCGGAGAGAGGAGGATGTCACTGGTTGGGTAATCCACACAGCCACTGCGATGGCTGCAAAGAGAGTGGCTAAGGCCTCCATCTTTCCAAGGGCTGAGAAAGTCCAGATCCCGGGAACAGAGTGGCTGCCAGGCCCTCGGAACACTACCCCCTACTGCCAGGGAGCAGCAGAGCGGCCCACGCGGGCCCAGCACCCACGCTCTCCTCCTCCGGGAGCTCTGGGGGACCGCATCCAAGTGGCCTGGGGAGGAGCAGGTGCTTCCCGGTCTGGACACAGCATGTGCAGGCTGTCCACCTCGATTCGGAAAGCTGGTTCCCCCTTTACTCCAGACAGTGCCTTTGTCCTCCACTTACCTCTGTGAGCCTCCACTGCCTCCCTATGAAGTGGGCATAAACAGAGCCCCTCAAAATGGGCAAGGATTTAAAACAGACAAGCAGGGCTTGGCACAAGCAAGGTCAACACTTTCCTCGCTCCACAGCTCCAGCGTGCCCAGTGATTAAGCGAACACTAAACGGTGGTAGACTTGGTCAAGCATGGATAGACCTAATGATTAACCAACCCCACAGAGGGTTTGAATTCAACCTCTTCTCCAACCAAAACCATGGTGAGCCCCAGAGGTGTGCTGAGGGAGGGGCTGAACGGTCGGAAGAAGATGGGGAAGAGCTCCTCCCCCGCAATCCTCCCCCCTCCCCCCGCAGGAATTCTGCCCTCCCCTCGCCCCGTGTGTTTATACTTTTTTCCCCCTTACAAAACCCAGAATACGGCCAGTGGAGTCCAGAGAAAAGGCCCATGTGATATTCGCAATAAGGCAGACCCGAGTCTTCTAAGCCCAGCTTTGCCACCACCTAACTGTGTGAGTTGGGGCGAGTGTCTGAAGCTCTCTGTGCCTCAGTCTCTCCATCTGTAAAATGGAGCCGGGCACCTGACTCTGCAGGATTGCAACTAGAAAGAGACCGGGTCATGCACACAGCGGAAGTTCAGCAGAAGTGAGTCCCAGAGCTGCGCCCCGCCCTCGTCTGCTGTAGGGGATTGATCTGAATTGCTGATGCTCTTTGTGGGCATTGCCAAGGGACATCCCAACAATCCATCATAAAGGACATTCCCTCTCTCAGGTGTTTTGTTTCCTTATTGTACGCAGTGGCATGCCAGGTAGGCTGGGGTGCCCATAAATGTTATCTGCACCATGGACTAGGAGAAAGAATGCTTTGGACTTTGGAGCTAAAAAAAAAAAGCCTGGATCTCAGTCCTGGTTCTGTTAGCTGGATGAGCCTTGTGAGCTGTGGCTCCCTCACCTGTAAGATGGAGATGATAATCCCTACCCTGCAGGCTGTTGCAAGAATCAAATGCATTCTTTCATTCAACAAATATTTACTGGGCATCTACTATGTGCTAGCCACTGCTCCAGATGCTGACCATATAGCAGTGAAAAAATAAACAAAGTCCTCCCTCCTTAGCCAATAAACAGCTAACTGCACACACAGCGTGGCACACGGTGACCCAGGCTGTGGAGAAACACAAAGCAGTGTGGAGGGAGGGGGGGCTGCCTGGGGCAGGGGCAATGGCAGGACCCGCACCGGAGCAGAGACCCGAGGGAAGCAAGGGGGGAAACCTTCTGGGGGAAGAAGGTTTCAGCAGAGGGTTCTGCAAGTGCGGGAGCCTTAAGAAGAAGCCTGCTTGGCATGTAAATGAAGCCACATATGCAGGAAGCCTGGCACAGAATCCAGGTGCTCGGCAAATGCCAGCTCTCTATTTCAAGACCCGCAGAAGAAACCCCACGCATGTGTCCTTTTCCTGAGAATGAAACACAGGCTTTCTACAGGGCAGGACTGAGCCAAGTGTTCTTTCAGCCTCAGATGCTGCCTGTTTTCTGAGCCCCTGCCAGGTCCCAGGTTCTGGGCTGGGCAACCAATGACACAAGATGATCAAGGCATGGTCTCTGTCCTCACACAGCCCCAGGGCGAGTCATGGAGATGGGTGATCACAATGCATTGCGGTCAGTGTACATCCAGAGACCTAAGAAGGGATCTAGGTAGCAGAGCGAAGGATGGGATTGGGTGGGTGGGTGGGGGGCTTCCTGGAGGAGGTGACAACTAAACTGGGTTTTGAAAGTTGGACTAGACAAGAAAGGCGATCCCAGGTGTGGGGAGCATCACAGAGCGCAGAGGTGTAAAAACATGGCAGTGTATGTGAGAAACTAATCACAGGCAGGTCATGAAACAATAAACAGCCCTTCATATTCTTGGCAGCTGCCACTTGGTGTGGCTCAGGAATTCCAGTTCTGTCCCCTTCCTCAAACTCAGTGCAAGCTGCAGCCCCAGGGGACAGTTGGAAATGTCTGCACTTAGCTAAGGCAGCAGGTGAGCAACCAAACCCGGCTACCAGCCCAGGGTGGCTCTCCAGAGCCGGGGCCCAGCTGCCGGGAGACTACAGAAATCCCCAGCTATATTTAGCTCACCTGGCAGTGTCTGTGCCTGCACCCACCCAAACCTGACCCACAGGTGGCAGAGTGGCGCTTTTACCAGAACAGCATAAACGTTTCTTAATAAAGAAATCCTAAAAAGGGGCCGGTGCCTCCACAGCTGTCTTTTTGGCTAGGAGATGCTGTGGTATTGGCCAACATCCCTAGACACCTGACTAGGTGGGTGGGTGGGTTCTCCCCCATGGGACTATAGCCCTGTCAGTAGAAAGTGGAGGCCACCCTCCAGTAAGTGGACCTGGGTTCGAATCCCAACACTGCCACCAACTCACTGGTGACTTCACCTCTGAGAATTTGGAAGTTTGAGTGCAGTGGCCCTAAAGCTGCCCAGAGGCTTATACAGTAGGAGCTGGCTCCTCCCCCATAAGCCAGCCTTGGGAATCCCCTCCAGGGGAAAAAACAGTTATTATTTGATAACACCCAGAAGGGAGGACTACCTGGGAATATTCAAGCAGAGATGAGGTTATATATCCCTTTCCTAAAACCTCACACTAAATGGACCCACAGCTGACTTGGGTAAAGTCAGCTTTACCCCACTGAGCTATGCTTTTGTACTTTAAACACACATATCTCTCGCCTTCTGCGTAAAGGATGCTACAAATGCCCAGCCTTCAACTAAAATAAAGACTTATTCTAAAGACTTTGGGGATGGAAGAAGGGCTGGCAGACAGACTGGGCTCCCAACCCAGACTGTCCCCCTGCTAGTGGTGTGACCTTGGGCGAGTCATTTTCCCTTCTCTGAGCCTAAATTTCTTCATTTGCAAAACCAGAATGCAAATCCTTCTGGTGAAGCTTCTTTGCATACCCTCTTTGCTAATGCTCGCGGGGGTATGCAGAGTGCCCGGCACAGGGCTTCCGCGCTGCCCTGTTCCCACAGTTACCAGGTATTTTGAGTGAGGCCTCCACTGCCTCCCACTCCCACCCTCTGAATCCCCTTACTCTGGCCCCAGCAGTTCTGCGGTGGTTTTAACTAGGGGGCGATGCTCTCTGCAGCGGTGACTCCGAGGGGCTAGTCCCTAGTTGAGAGGACACCAGAGGGGGGCGCAGCCGGGGGTTCGCGTGGGAACGTGGCCAAACCAAGGCAGCTTGTGCCGCCGGGGTGCTGGGCGGCTGTAAACTGGGGTACCCCTGAGAGCACCCCGCCCTCTCAGCAGCTTCAGTCTCCATACAATGATTGGCTCTGGCCGTCGGAAGCCCTGGGGAGCCCGGCTCCAGTCACCACCCCACCCAGGGCGCCCCAAGCTCCCTCATCAGTGCCCTCAGGCTGGAACAAAGGCAAGGGGGCGCACAGCATCGCCCCGGCGGCCCCTTCGCTCCTCTGGCCAAAGCCAGGAGAACAAGGACGGGGGTCCCCAAGGTAACCAGGACGCGGTACCCGCCTTCCCGGAGCGCAAAGCCCAGCAGCCAGGCGCACGCGGATATGGGGTCCGGGGGGCACTAGAGACTCCAGCCCGCTGGACGACGAGGGCCCCAAGGCGGGGGTGGCTCTCCGGAAGTCACCCAGCGGGCCCCCCAGGGAGAGAAGAACCCCAGCGCCCGCCTCCCGGGCAGGGCTCCCCGGCGTACCTGGCAGGGTCCTGTGCACGGTGTTGCCCATCGCTGCTTCGGGGCGCGGTGTTGGCAGCGGCGCGCTCAGGGCACACGAAGGCTAATTACGCGGTGGGCCGGGGACCCGGGCCGGGGTCGGGCCGCGGGGCATCGCGGCTGCACGGGCGAGCCTGCCGGCGGCAGCTGGGCGGCGCGGGGAGGGAGGCGGCGGCTGCGGGAGAAGAAGGCGGAGCCATCGGCCCGGCCCTCCAGCTCCGCCCCCGCCTCCTGCTGCCTCCAACCACGCGGGAGGGGCGGGGCCGCGGCCGCCGCATCTTTTGAAAGTTCGTACCGGGTGGCGGGTGGCGGGTGGCGGTGGCGGGAGCGGAACCGCCGAGACTCCCGCCCTCGCCGTTCCCGCGCCCAGGGCAGGAAGGCGCGCAGGGCACGGGGTGCCCTCTGGGTGCCAGGCTTGTCAGCCTGCCGGTGGTTCACTCATTCAGTCCAACATTTTGAAAAACCCTTCTGTGTGCCAGGCCCTCTGTCAGGCGCTGGGCCACACGGGACGAAGGCTTAGCCTCCACGGAGCACCTAAGCGGGGTACCGGGGTGGGGAAAGGACCTACACACAGGCAGAAGGTCACCACGGACAATATCCGAAAGGCCTTAGGAAGACAGTCCAGCCAGGTGACTGGGGAGTGGGATCAGGTACCTGCAATTAGGAGAAACTCAGGCAGTGTCCAAAGGTTGGGAGGAGAGACCCCGTATTCGTGAATTCGTTCACTCAATGAAATATTTATTGAGCACATCGTATGTGCCAGGCTCTGTGCTGGGCACTGTAGATACCAACCAAGCATGCTAGTGGTGAAGACAGAAACAACAAGCAATTAAGATCACACAATATAATGATCATAGCCAGAAAGAAAATAAAACAAGGGATGGGGTGAATTTGGGGGACTCGGGGAGAACCTGGGGGCATGTCAGCTCCAGGTGATGGACAGTGAGGAATCAGCCGTGGGAAGAGCCAGGGAGTGTTCCCCGAAGAGGAAGTAACAGGCATGCCTCAATCATTCATCCCCCCAGAGGTATTTCCTGAGCACCTCTCCTGTCTGTGCAGGAGCCCAGACCACACGCAGTGGGGAGTCAAGCCTGCTAGTTCCTGCCCTCACTGGGCTCCATTCTGCAAATCGGAATACAGGCGACCCAATTCCAAATGAGATTTTTTTTTTTTTTTTCCGGCTCTATTTTTCATGCTCTGGTATCCTTTAAGACCTTATGAAGTATGTCATTACCCCCACTTCGCAGATAAGCCACAAGGCTCAGAGAGTGGGAAAGAGGTACCCAGGCTTGCCTGGAGCTGTGTATAGGAAAGGGGGTTATCCAGGAGAGGCCCCCCTCCCCCATTCACCTGACCCTGGATGCAAAGGGCTGTGTCTTGGCATCTTGGTCTCTGTGAATAAGATGTGCTCTGGAAAATTTTAAAAATCTCACCTGTCCCCCCCCCCCCCCCTTGCCCAGACCAGATGATGGTGAGTCTGGTGTCAAAAGTCACATGTAAATAATTTGAACCAAATCGTTTCTTGAAATTTGAGGATGGACAAAAGCAGTCTTTCCAAACCAATAGTTTTCTATAAAAATAGATTTAAAATATGTATGTCTCAGTAAAGAAATAAATTAGATATTGCAAGTAGATGTCTATTTCATCTCCACCCATAAAAGTTTCTATTATTCAACTTTATTGTGCATCTTCTCTTTGGGAGAGTAGGGATCACCCTTAGCCTTTACCGGGATGGTCTAATACTTGGGTTTTCTTCTGAGTCCCATGGCACTTAGTCTTCTTCCTCATTGCACCTGCGGGGCAGGTGTAGCTGTTACCCTCCGTGCTCTCCCCTGGCACATGGGGAGCCTCCTCAGGGCAGCACCCAGGCCGTGTTCATTTACAAAACCCCAGCGTCCAGGACAGGACTGGCATATGCAGGTACCTGATACCCATTTGAATAAACCGACTGCAGAGATTAATTGCTCTGAACTGGGACAAGCAAGGGAAGAAGGAGGGAGAATGATATGGAGGAAGGAAGAGTGGAGTAGGAAAGAGTTGTAAAGAAATGGAGTTTTAGCCTGGCCGGTGTGGCTCAGTGGTGGAACGTCGACCCTGCACCAAGAGGTCACCAGTTCGATTCCCGGTCAGGGCACATGCCCAGGTTGTGGGCCCGATCCCCAGTGGGGGGCATGCAGGAGGCGGCCAATCGATGTTCTCTCTCATCGATGTTTCTATCTCTCTCTCCCTCTCCCTTCCTCTCTCTAAAACCAAAAAAGAGAAATGTGTTTTAGTTGGTAGTAGCCTGGGACTCTGGTATGATCAAGAGTGATGTGTGCTGGGAGAAACAAACAAAGCGACCGAACAGGGATGCATTCACAGAAGTAGAGTCTTAGAACAAAGGTCAGGCGGTAGCTTTGGGAGAGAAGGAGGTCCCTGTCACAAGAGGTGTGCAAACGAAAGCGGGGAATGGGGGCACGCTGGGCCCAGGCAGCAGCCTCCAGTCATAACCTCTCCTCTCCTGGCCGCACCAACCCCCCCAACCACATCCAGAATTGCACAGGCTGTGGCCACCCTTCCTTGGCACCAGGACTCATGCTTGGATTGCAGGGCCCCCTGGGTGGGGCTGACTCTTGATTGTGTAGTGTTGGCACAGTCTCCCAGGGCAGTGGGTAGAGGGAGGGCCCTGGCAGGACTCCCTGGCATTGCTCTCTTGGAGCATGCCATGGCAGGCTCTGCCCATGCAACAGCAGGCAGTCAGGTGCACCTTGGAAAAAGGGCGCACACTGAGCTGGGGGGTTCCACCACTGCTAACACCTGGGTGGGAGACCCCTTTCCCCAGGGCAGCCATTTTCAACCTTTTGCATCTTGTAGCATGCAAACTAATTAGTAAAATTCTGCAGCACACCAAAAAAATATATATATATATATTTTTTTTTTGCCGATCTGACCAAAAAAATAGGTATAATTTTGATTCCTTCACACCAGATGGCTATTGTTGTGTTGAGTGTTGTCATTTTTTAAAATGCGACCATCCAGGGGAGAAGGGGTCAGTGCCCCTGACCGAGTAGTCAGGTGTCACATGTTTTGAAAATGCCTGTGGCACCCCGGTGTGCCGCACAGGGGTTGAGCACTGCTGCTCCGGGGAACCCAAGGCCTGTGCTCAGACTCCTCCCGGTAACTCGAGCCCCGGGAATCCAGGCTGCAGTCAAACCACAGAGCTCAGTCTCAAAATTGCTACAGGAAGGATCTTTTCTGCCAACGCTGCCGGCCAACCCTCGATTTCCAAACCCGGCGGGTCTTCACCCGTGAAAGAAAGATTTTTCAGCTCCTGGTTACAAAGTGCCAAGCACTCAGCGGGCACCAGGATACGCCCTTTGAGTGACCCTCCTCACAGTCTAGCAGCACGGGCAGTGACACAATTCCCAGTCCCCGTTTAGCAGGGGAAGAAACCCACGTGCAGAGAGAGGAAGGACCTGCACATTCCCGGGACAAGGCAGGACTCAGAAAGTTCGAGTCCGTCGGTGAGGGCCCTTGATGCTGTCCCAGGAGTAGAAAGATAAGTGACCTCTTCTTCCTCCCACCTCCCCCCGACAATTTCTGGCCCCCGCGTGCTCTGCCATCACTGCTCCCTTACCTGGGTGAAATGTGGGCCGGGCTCTTTACACTCCATGCCAGGGCCTGTGCTGGGCCGGGCCCAGGGCAACGGGGTGAGCCGCCCCTCTTGTCGCGTCACCAGCAAGCAGGACCCATCGTACCCCAGCCGGTCCGAGAGAATCGGTCAGTCAAGGTGAGGTGGAAAGAGCTGGGGTCCTGGGCCAGCCAGGGCCGGGAGCCTGGGGGGGGGGGCCTTCCTCCCCCAGGCCCAGAGCTCCCAGTAGGACCCTCTGTGGAAACCAGACACCTGGAAGTACGTCCGCTTCAAAGACTTTCCCTCCCCTGGCCTCTTTCCATCTTCCTGGGACCTCTCTGCCCATTTCACTCACGAAGAAACTGAAGCACAGAGAGGTGAAGGATTTGCCTTTGGTCACACAGCTGGATGCCGTGGGCTCAGGCCTATCCTGGGGACCCCATAGCTGGGTCCCCCATCTCTCTAACCCTCACCTGCAGAAGGAAGAGGCTTCTCAGGCCCAGAGAAAGGAGCCGGGTGTCTCAAAGACCCAACATTATTCTCCACCCTCCTGGGGTGGTTGGGTTCGAATCCCAGCTTGGGAACTTACTGCCTGTGACCTTGGGCTAGTCGTGTGACCTCTCTGTGCCTCAGGTTCTATGTCTGTAAAATAAGGCAAATAATGGAAACTCCCTGAGAGGGCTGTGAGGGCCAGCGAGCTGATAGGCCGTAAGTGTGTACACAGCGTCAGGCGACGGTTCTCGGGAAACATGCCGCGCGAACAGCCATGGTTACAGGTTCCGACTCCCGCTTCTAAAGGCCTTATAAGCTGCTGTTCACATTCTTTGAGTCTGGAATCCACTTCGAAGAACTTCTCCTGAGGACATAATCCCAGCTAAGTAGGGACTAAGCTAATAAATGCCCAGAGATGCTGGTTACGTACTAGTACACCCGAGCAAAGTCAAACACACCTCCTACCACGGGGAAATGTTTAGTAAACAGGCGTCACTCACAGGGCTCTCGGCCTGCTGTTTCCAAAGACTTTAGAGTAACAGGAGAGAAGGCTTATGTTCTCATGTTAAACGAGAACGGCCGAGCACAGAACTCTAGACTCAGAATGAGGCTCATAAAAACAAATTAAGCCAATACAAAATGTGAACAGAAACAGGATGAAAGAAAATGCATGAAAATATGACCGGTGATCTCTGAATAAGAGGAATAGGGGTGGGTTTTTCTTCCCTTTTTCTATCTGTTGGCAATTGTTCAAATGTTCCCTAATGAGCAGGTATGAAACTTTTCCAATGGGAAGGAACTCAATAAACTACTTTCAAAAACAGTTTTATCTGGGAGTGGACATGCTGCCTGACCAGTGCTTAGCATGTTGGCATGGATGGGACACCAATTTTGTAGCAAGGAGTTGAATGCTGTGGGATGATCGTGTGACAGGGAGTGTTCACATTGTCAATATTTATTAGGTTCCAGCTCTGACTCAGCTTCTGAATGTACAGGGGAAGTGGGTATGGAGGGAGGGCTTAGGAACAGGTACAGCTTGAAGTTTCTTTG